GAATGAGGCGCGGGCGGTGAATGGGGCGGGGAATGAGGCGCGGGCGGTGAATGAGGCGCGGGCGGTGAATGAGGCGCGGGCGGTGAATGAAAATCATCTTTCTCTCAGATTTTCAGCAGTTACTGACTCGTGCCGAGAAGAAACCATTACAGCGCCATCCGGTGTCGGCGTGCCGCGTCCGCGCCTGCGGTGACGTCCTGGTGGAGAATATCGGCAGCCAGATCCCGGCCGAGCTCCTGGAAATGTACTTCGAGAGCAACCGCGCAGGAGGCGGAGCCGTGAGATCCGTGACCATGCTGAGGATGGCCGCCGCCGCCGTGGTGTCCTTCCATGACTGGAATGGTGAGACCTGAACACGTGGTCCTTCCCCAACTCCCTACAACGTGTCCTTCCACTCCACAGATCCGGGTTCTCTATATCTCATGGCGTGTCCTTCCACTCCGCAGATCCGGGTTCTCTATATCTCATGGCGTGTCCTTCCACTCCACAGATCCGTGTTCTTTATATCTCATGGCGTGGCCTTCCACTCCACAGATCCGGGTTCTCTATATCTCATGGCGTGTCCTTCCACTCCTCAGATCCGTGTTCTCTATATCTCATGGCGTGTCCTTCCACTCTGTAGATCCGGGTTCTCTATTTCTCATGGCGTGTCCTTCCACTCCACAGATCCGTGTTCTCTATATCTCATGGCGTGTCCTTCCACTCCTCAGATCCGTGTTCTCTATATCTCATGGCGTGTCCTTCCACTCTGTAGATCCGGGTTCTCTATTTCTCATGGCGTGTCCTTCCACTCCACAGATCCGGGTTATCTATATCTCATGGCGTGTCCTTCCACTCCACAGATCCGTGTTCTCTATATCTCATGGCGTGTCCTTTCACTCCACAGATCCGTGTTCTCTATATCTCATGGCGTGTCCTTCCACTCCACAGATCCGGGTTCTCTATATCTCATGGCGTGTCCTTCCACCTTGTAGTAGAATAGATTGGACACAAGGAATACCGCAGAAGAGGATTGGCTCCAGAATTGGTACAGGAGGAGATGATTGGCCATAGAAAGTGAGGTTGTAGATGATTGGCCTTTGGAGCTCTGCAGGAGAAGGTGATTGGCTGTGGACGGGTGTGGAAGGACAACCCTAAGGAGATGAATTGCCGTAGAAGGGATATGATCCAAATCCTTTTGTTATGACCGTCCAATGCAACTCTTCCAGATGTGGTCTGATGAGTACAGAGGTCCTGCCCGGCCAGTCCACCTCCTCTGCGTGTGGTGGTGGCACATGTGTAGAAGGGGATGGCTGTAGGTCACACATGGCCATGTATATGGTAATAATGGTGGGACACAAGTCATGGAGCATCTACCGTAACTTCGGTATTGTGATTTGTTTCAGTGGCTGATCGGGTCCTCTGCAGACAACACACCCTACACAGCTGCCAGCTCTCTGTCTCCCCATACTACCCTGAGCTGTTGGGGAGTCCACGTAATGACATCACCAATGAGAGAGTGATGGAGGAAGAAGATCCTACAGAGACTCCTGACACTGGAACCATGCAGCAGAATGGCAGCCACGGCACCGGAGCCCCAGCTGAAGACTGCAGGATGCAGAGTGTTCCAGGGATAGATGAAAAGATGGTTGGAGTAGGACTATGTGGTATGGAGGAGACCCAGGCTGAGACACGTGAGGGTTCAGAGCCACCACTGACAAGACCAGAGATGCCACAGATAAGACCCCATTCCCAGGCTTTGGGTTCCACTGTAGATAGACATGATGGGTTGGGCACTCTGAGGACACGATATTCTCCAGAGACAAATAAAGGTGAAGATTGGAGTTATCTTTCTGACCCTCTAACAACCTCCATGTCTTGGAGAGGTGAGGGGACAGGGATGGCCTCTGTGGAGGCCGCAAGTCCTGTACATGAAGCTGAAGTTGTAATGGAAGCAGCTGAACTTTCCTTTATGCAGAAATATCATCATGAACTTCTGGCTGGATTTGATGCAGTGACAATCTTCCCCCTGGAGGAGGAGGACAGGTTTGGCTTCAAGGTGAGTGTTATAGAGGAAGGAGCAGAGTCCTCCAGCAGATTATTTCAGGAGAGTTATAGAGGTGGGTTGGGTGTAGTCCTTGTTGGGTTCCTCGGTGGGGTGAGTGGTGAGAAGTCCTTGTTGGGTTCCTCGGTGTGGTGGGTTGGGGAAGTTCTTGTTGAGTTCCTTGGTGTGGTGGGTGGGGGGAAGTTCTTGTTGGGTTCCTCTGTGTGGTGGGTTGGGGGAAGTTCTTGTTGGGTTCCTTGGTGTGGTGGGTGGGGGAAGTTCTTGTTGGGTTCCTTGGTGTGGTGGGTGGGGGAAGTTCTTGTTGGGTTCCATGGAGGGTTGGGTGGGGGGGGTTCTTGTTGGGGTCCTTG